GAAAAATACATAAAAATATTGAGAAAGTTATATAAAACATTTTTTAAATATTTTTATTAATAAGGTAGGTTAGGTTAGGTTAGGTTATTGGGTTTTGTTCAAGTGACCACCCTCTTTCGATCCCCCTACACCATCCCCTTCGGGGGTGAAGGGCCATCATCTAACCCCCGTAACTTTTTATGGGGGTGAGACCGCCACGAACTTTTTATGGTACAGTGGCGGGGGAGACCTCTTCTTTCGATCCCACCCATCCCCACCCCCTTCGGGTGTGAGGGCCATCTTCTAGACATTTAGCTTTTCTTTTTATTTTTGAAATGGAAACTTTTTGGTCTACAAATATATTGAATCATAGGGAATAGTTAGTAGGAATACTTGATCATTTTTCTGTTTTTAAGATTATATTGTAGTTCAATTACAAGCTAGATAATTTTATCTTTATTTGAAACATCCTTACTATGGCATTCCAACAGGATTACTCATTCGCTAGTTAAATGTTTCGATAAACTTAAACTAACAATGCCCACTTTACACAGAATAGACGCGAACTGTTGAATTACAAGAATTTATAGCTTACCTCAACGATTTTATGTTGAACGGGTAACTTAAAAAACAGGAAACAAAAGATGTGCGCAGCATTTTTGCCGTAATTTAAATGAATAGATACTGAACCTAATTGGGCATTTTAACAAGGTAGTGGCCACATCGGTGCTAATTGGACAATATCGCAAAGCTTATTATGTCACGAAAAAATTGCCTTTCTCAGTTTAACGTAGCGATTTATTTGGATTAGTCGCCAGCCTTATCTCATTTCTCATATTTCAAACATAACTAACACTGAAATGATGGTTCTGTGTAGGTTCTTTACCTTAAAATACTAAAGAGGAATCAGGTGTCAGCTGGTATCAATAGATGGCGATATATTGTCACAACTAAATAGTCCATCAACTTTTAAAGAGCTCGTTCGGTTTGGTCTTTGATTTATTGAGATAAGATCTAATAAAATCCAACTTCTGATTCATATTTGTATTTTATTGGAATTAGGCAATGAAAGGCATTTTAATTTTTTTTATCCTGTTGGATGTAGGATTTATTAAACAAATAAAGCTAAAGTAAACCTATTTTGAAAAAATGAGAGGAAGTAGATCCTTGGCAAGAGTCGATTATTGCCTATAGGTATGGATTTAGGATGGAAAGTATAAAATTAACGAATTTACGCACTTCCATTCCTTCCTATCCTGAGGTAAGCTTCGCGTTTCCCTAAAACTAGAACGTCCCACATCCTTACATATTTGCGAACAGTTTTAACCTAATCTAGGTCCACCTCTACTCCTCTTAACTTCCCTTCTGTCTCTAATATGTCTCTGAAGAGATCTTTATGCCTACTAACCTATCTCATCTATTTTTTATTGACTTCCATAGACTCTTCTGTGCTCCTTTTCTTTCTAATATCTCTTCATTTCTAACTTTCTTTATCCACAGCATCCTCATTAATCGTTTGTAACACTACATTTCGAACGCTTCTAACATCTTCTTTTTCGCCCCGCTCCAGACATACACCTTTAACAATCCTTTTATAATTTCTAAATTAACCTTTCGCTGCGGTATCCTCTGCTTTACATCCCTACTACTCTTCGTCCCATTTAACATTGACAAAATCCAAATTCCAAATCTACGAATCCCATGACCTTTCCTAGAGCTCGTAGACCACGATATACAAACATTTCATGTTATTTAGAACGTTCAGTTGTCCTTATTTGGCCTATAGCCAAAGCAATAAATTATAATTTTTGTAAATCTCTCACTTTAATTGATTAACGTCAAGATTAGATACTTCCAAAACCCTGAACATCACTTTACAACTTCGCTTTATTCATCAAATCGTTCTTGTTCTATCATTCAACTCACACCCCTTCATTGATTAAAGTTTGGACTCCCCGATTCGTTGAAATACTATCTTTCTAACATTAATTCAGTTACATTTGTCTATCAGGGGCTGTAAAATAAACTGAGTGACATTATTTTAAAGGAACTGTATGGATCCTTCTAATCTTAAGCGATAAGTACAATAAATAACTTTGAGGTTGTCTAATATTCAATAAAGGGTTTCTATTCATATCTGTCAGTCACCCTTATCAGGGTTCCACATCGAAACATGCCTACCCTTATTCGTTGAAATTAAGTGACAACTTTGACGATTGTTTTCAATTGTATATTGACGGTCTTATGTGATAGATAAAAGAAACTAATTCTGATATTGTTTTGCTCATGTCAACAAAGGTTTTTCGTTTGTATTTCGTGTTAAATACGCAAAACAATGTCAGATCGTTTTATTTTCATAACGCAAAGCGCGTGGCGTATTATGATGACGTGTATAAAAGACGCGTCCCGCATTTTCCTCATCGTTTTCAATTTTCCGGGGTAAATACGTCGACAAAGGACGCAATTTTGTCTCACGACCCGGCACTATTTGCTCATCAGCCGCCGCGATTCGTGAAAGAACGTTTCTGCATCTGTGAACATCATCAACGACTGTTGAGATAGTGGTGGAGTAAAATGTGGAGAAGGGGCGGAGGATTTAGGGGTGACAGTAAAAGAGTTTCCCTCATCCTCTCTCTGCTAATAATAAAAACTTTCCGTTCCCGTTATTCACGCTCGGCAAGCGCATCGGGGTTCGGATACGGGATGAAACGGGACAATGCGTCCTGCTTCTCTGGATGACAACTCTTTCAGCCTGGTATTAATTACTTCCGACCCCACGTCGTCTTGAATCGCATCGCGACGTTCCTTGCGTGAATTGGAACCTTGAAGTCGACAGCGAATCACGACCTTTCTTTTCATAAATACAAAACGTCTTATGTATAGTAGAATGTTAGGAGAAAGGAGACCGTTATTAGGCGTCCAGGTGGCTACATCTGGACGCTACAAAATAGTCTTGTGTAGTTCACGAACGAACTGGTTCAGTAGATATATCCCTTGTGTGAACTACAAGAACTAGTTGGCAGCCAAACAAGAAATCAGTTCGTTAGTTCAATTATCTGCCACGCAGTATAGAGGGCGGAAGAGACTCATGATGTATCTCCTAACCTAAAAGAACGGAAATTTATCGGTAGCATCCGTTGTTTTAACTACAGTCCATTCTTTTTGAAATGTATTTTGGCGGTTTGGGTGTTCTCCGAAAATTTCATGTTATGTAAATCAATATCAGATAATTCTATGTTAGATTAAAGGGTCTCTATTTTCGAACCTAAAGCGCCTTAACAGTGAACTTACGAACTAGTTCGCGGAAGAATAATGAACTAAGCTGATTGCTCTTTTTCTGAACTAAGAAGCCCAAGTCTATTACAAAGCGCAGAAGATCAAAAGGGTGCAAGACTGGTTTTGAAAACTTGTCAGTATTCGTGAAATGTATACTTATTTTTATTAAATACGTGATGAATACGTAATTTTTAAAAACAAATGAAACAAATTACCGCCAAACTATAAGGTGAAAAAAGGTAAAAAACTTAGTGTTTAAATATTTAATTCTTCTTACTTCGCTAATGTAGCAATTTAGTGAACTTGTCTATCACTGTACGACACTATTAATAAAATGATTTTATTATTTTGTTGTATTTGAACTATTCAATTCATTCGCGGGGTGCTTTTCAATTATGAAGTCATCATCATTTTTTCTGTGAATGTTTTCACAGCGGAGAATTCTTATTATATGCTTCCCTGCTTCGTGTTTATCATCGTAAGGTCGTCAGTCCTAAGACTGGTTAGACACGCATCTCCACTCATTCCTATCTTGAGTTAATTTTTGCATTTCCCTAAAACTCGAAAAACCCACATCCTTAACTATTTGCTAACAGTAATCTATCTAGGTCTACCTGTACCTCTCCTAATATCCGTTTCTGCTTCTAATAAGTTTCTCAATAGACCTTCATGCCTGAGAAGGTGTCCTAGCCCACATCGCCTATTTCTTATTGACTTCCATAGAATCCTCTGTTCTCTTACTCTTTCCAATACCTCTTCATTTCTAAGGCTTCTAACCCATATGACTTCCTAGATACCTAAAATCAGGCACTAATCAATCGTCTCCTATCTTTATATTCCCTCTTTCCCTACTTTTTCTCCTCTTGCATACCAGTATTTTTGTTTTACTTTTATTTGTTTTCATACAGTAGGCGTGTAAAACAAGTAATATATTGTATTGTTTCAAATACTGATTCATGGCAAACGGGTTTAGTGTAGGTCAAGTTTACGAAAGCTGAAGAATTATATACAATTTGTTTCACTTNGGTGTATTTGAACTACTCTACTCACTTCATCGCCAGAGTGCTTTTCAATTATGACGTCACAACATCTTTTCTGTGAATGTCTTGATAGCGAAGAATTTTTATTATATGCCTCGCTGCTTCGTGTGTAGGCATTTTTAAAAATTTAGATTGTTCGCCAAAGTGAATGTTTATCTTCCAAATCGAGTTGATCGGGGAAAAGTTTACCTCGGATCTGACGCAACGATTCCGCAAAGTTTAATAAAAGCCTCAAGATTTCGGAGGTTACGAGACAAAATTCGCAACGCGCCCTTCCGTAATTTATTTGAATGACAATGGCACACGGATATTTAAGATTTTCTCCAAACTGTTGTTATCCACTTTACAGGAGAAGAAAAGGCTGAAGCTGAAGGAAATTTCCCTTCGATTTCTTTTTTCTTCTGAGAGCTTGCCTCCCAAATACAGGATGAAATATACATGAAAATCCTATGCAAATTAATATTAAAATTTAAACTTTACGATGATAATTTTTCAAAATAAAAGTTCAGTGAGGGGAAATGAAGAGGGATATTTGATNTCATTCTTGACCCACAATGGCTGACGATGAAGCAGATTTTGACGACGATGAGTATCTGGGGGGGCGTGGAGAAGAAGAAGATGAGGAAGAAGAGCAGGAATTGTCGAAAGCACCCAGCGCAGATTCGTTTCACGCACTTGAGGAATTTAAAGCTAGACCAAACATTTACGACGTGTTCAAGTTTGCGCCCATTAAAAAAATAACGAGGGAAATTGTTCAACAAGTTCTCGGTGGTCAGATATTTGAAGGAGACCGAGTCAGAAAGTGGATAACGAAAATTGCGAACGAAATCAACGAGAACATTCGCGAACTCAAATTCAAAAGGTACAAGCACATTGTGCATGTTCAAATTGGCGAAGATAAAGGCCAGGGGATCAAGTGTGGGCTCAGATGTGTATGGGACTCGAAAGTCGACTCGTATTTTGTTGATATTTTTACGAATGACACTCTGTTTTGTCTAGTTATGGTTTTTGGGGTGTATTTATACTAAACTGAGTTTTAGATGAATCATTTTTATAATGAAAGATAGTCAAGTCAGAAAGTCGGGAGTTGCGGGTCGAATTCTAGATCACGAAGATGCAGGGTGGTGAGACGACTTACCGTCATCACTTACCCTGTGATAGTTTCTGCCATTTCTACGTTCTCCAATTATCTAGTAAGGTAGGCTTAGATTATTATTTATAATTAACTATAGTTAAAATGTTGACAAGTCATTTAAAATTATATAATCAATGTTCAATATTAGATTAAAGTAATTATATCCCATTTCTAAACATATAAATTCGCTTATTTGTGACATGGTAGAGTAATAATATTGCTGAATAAATACATAAAATTCGCTTCTTCTGTGCAACCATATACACGAGATATGGATGCTTTTAGTTGCAGAATGTATTTTAAAGACCTGCCTCCGAATACTTTTGTCGGATAACATACACGGATACTTTTTCTATTGAGAATCCTTCAAGAAATTCAAAGAGAAAGTGCAAGTGTAAGTGCTCTGCTGGAGCACTGCCTTCGATAATCCGTTTCATGTTCTACAAAATATTCCTTAGTTTCTGAGTTATTCTACCCACTGTTTCCCAAATTGCGTTTTACAATACTCTTTCCTACATTCAGTTTCTATACTTCTTGTCGTTTCTTCTTAGATATTATTAATGAAGAGGTATTAGAAAGAGTAAGAGAACAGAGGACTATATGGAAGTCAATAAGAAAGAGGCGTGATAGGTTAGTAGGACACCTTCTCAGGCATGAAGGTCTAGTCAGAGAAATATTAGAGGCAGAAGCGGGAGTTAGGAGGGGTAGAGGTAGACCTAGATTAGATTACTGTTCGCAAATAGTTAAGGATGTGGGATGTTTTAGTTTTAGGGAAATGTGGAGATTAGCTCAGGATAGGAAAGGGTGGAGGTGCGTGTCCAACCAACCGAGCGGCATGGCCTAGAGGTCTGGACCATTGCCTAGCATTCGGGAGGACGCCGGTTCCAACACTTTGTCTTTTACATATGTGATGTAGCATATTGTTAACAATAATATATATAAATATTAAAGTGTTGGTCCAGTGCGCTCATATATTGCGCGAACGTATACGTAAGTGGTACAGCAGTTTAATGATTTAGGGCTGTATGAGCTGTATGTTCATAAGGAAAGAAATGATATAATCCGTGCTCAATTACAATCGCGACATTCATCTTCAAAAATATA